CCTCCTGTGGACGAAGGTATGTAATGACAATTGTTTATAGTATTTCATTAGTGTTTTCCTTGGTGATTGTTCGGATTAACGAGTAATAGAGATGGTGATGGTAGTGGTAATGATGTTGAACTTAAGACACGAAATTTTCTTGCTTAGTCATGTCAATCACCTTAGAAGCAATAGGTTAGGTGGTCGATTAAGCGTTCATGAATGATTGTATTGTAGATGATTCTAAGGAGACAAGTGGGTGTTGAGCATTCCGAATCTTGTGCTCATTTTGTTGAAGGATTTGTTGGCATGGCATTGCCGTATTGAGGTTTTTTTTTTAGGGATATATATATAATGATCATTATGAGGAGTATCGAGAGTAATGTTTGTTCTTTTGTTATGATGATATTATCTTAAGGATATTTAAGGAATAGTCTTATAATTGTGGTTTGATGGTCCAGTGGGAGGATATAATAGAACTGTGGTTGGAATAAGTGGCAGTAGGGGCATTATGGTGTTTTAGTGTGATGCTTGGTGCTAATGAGCAGAGTGGTTTAAGATATAATCCGAATGTAGTTTGGAAATTACGAGTCGTTTGTTGTGTGTTGTCAGGTAGGTGATGAATTGTGTGCCAGTTGAGGCAATTATGGATGGTGTGAACGTTGGGGTCAGTGAGGACGGTATTGCTAGATAGGCACCCTTTTCATTGACAAGTCATAATGTTATTGTGATTGAGGTCACGGGTTTGTGTACATGGTGATTAAGGCAGTGTCAACTTCAAAAAGGTAGAGGTGGAACAGGTGATCAGGTGTCGTTATATTTCACAAAGTTTCTCATTTGGAGATTATCGGGTAGGAGGGGGCGCGGTGTCCAACTTACAGCAATGTTTCCTAGTGTTAGTATGTTAAGGGCGTTGGTGCTTTTATCTGGTTGGTTTTGGTTAGCATAGTGTGTGAGAGGTATTTGTGTTAATAGAGCGTGACGGTTTGTTTGTGGCGAGGTCGCCTAGATTGGTGTTCGTAGTTCTCTGTGTGTTACTAGTCGGTTCTTTTCCTAGTGCATAGGAAGTTCATTTCATCTCAGGAGCGAGTGGGGGTCCATGGTTGGACAGTTGATGAGTAATGTGTAATAGGGTGTCGGGTGCATACAGGTGCGAGTTGTTGGTCTTGTGAAAGCGGGGCTTGTTACTCTTCCGTTGTTCTAGTCCTGGCAAGGACGTCGTTTATTGTGAGTCTTGTCTCTGTCTAGGAGTTGTGTGCATCCGTGGAAGGATGGAATTGTGAGTGGGTGTTACTTTGTTAGAGTTCGTCGATTGAGGTTTTGATTGAAGGGGTTGACTTACTTCCACGGAGGGAGGTATAGCCTTAGTTTTGTAGTCCTTATTTTGAGGATGGTTTTGACTGGTAGAATTTGAGGCACGAGTTGCCAAATGAGGTTTGTATTTCTAATGTTTGTTATTCGCGGTGGTGGCTAGGGAATGTGTTATGAATTGCAATTTGAGAATAATTAAGTGATGTGATATGACTCATGTATTCGGATGATTTTAGAGGTGATTGATTTTAGTAGTGACTTAAGGATAAATGTTCGTATTGCTTGGGTGTCATACAACTAGAAAATGATTATGGGATTCCATTGGAGAATAGTAGGGATAATTGACTTTGGTTTTGAGGTTTCAGGCATGAAAGGTCGCATCGAGTGTTTTGAAGAGGTAAGAATTAAACCAAATGATGATATTGAGTTGTTTACCTGATATAGGTGCTATGAGGAGACTGTGATCTTTTGTGCTGATTGGTAATTGTGATGTTTGGGGTCGTTTTGTTTCCCGCTTGTTAAGGGTTGTGTGATTAAAGTGCGATTAGGATCTTTAAAAATGGTATGTGGTTGTATGGCGGTCAAGGTTACGTAGAGTGATGGATTGGTTAGGGAGTGAATCTTATAGTTGTTTTGTGGACTGTTTAGGGTTGTGTTTGAGGTTTAGACCTAAGGACAGGAACGATGTCTATGTCGAGATCAGATTGAGGATGAGAGTGGCCTGACCAACCATTTCTCTTGAATCAATCCTTCTTTGGCACGATATTGGGTCAAGGTCAATGATCGTTCCGACTTGTTTGTGATAGTGAGAGTATGGTACTGTATGTTGTGTTGGTGTGGCAATGTGGACTTACCTGATTTATCTTGGGTGACGGAAGGTGTTAGGTGGTATTGGGTGTTTGATAACGGGTTAGTGGTACAATCATTGATTATAGAGAATCTCGTTTTGAGGATTTGTGTTCAGAATTCAGAGTAGTACATCTTATTGTTTTGGTGACTCATGATTGTATGATTGTTAGGGAATTCATCATTTAGTTATCTTGAAGTTGACCAATATTATAATTATCAGTTAGTGTCGTTGGTGGTCATTGTATGATTTTGTAGGAGTATAGCCGTATGTTGGATAACGAGTTTTGGATTGGACAATGACGTGTAGATTGGGTTTGAGTCTGATTGTGTGCTGGATGAGGTTTCTCATTTGGGGTCTAAGTTGCCCTTTAGAAGGATGAGTGTGATAGGATGTTGTCATGTTCCAGGGTCTTGTGACCATTCTTCTTCGAGCTCCGAAGTATTATGTAGCAATGTAGAGGAGACCGGTGTTGGTCTTAAGTCGAGTATAGGATTCAGTGGGTTTTGTGCATGACGTTGTGAGTGATGAGTTCCCTCATGGGAGTAGTGATCATTGAGTTTTCTGGCGGCAATGTGTGATTGCCTGTTGACGCTAGTGTCAAAGGCAATATGGTTGTTGAGTTATTAGCCTTGGGATTTTGTGAGGAGTTCTCGGAAAGACTGTGGTTGGGAGCCTTTTCTTTAAGGAGGGTAGATTTCGAGGACGAAATCTCTTTAAGGAGGGTAGATTGTGACGTCTCCGATTTTTTTTGCCATTTTTTAATTTTTTGAAAATTTTGTTGCCACAAAGGTATTTCTGTCATTTCACGTTTTGCGTACGGGATTGTGGTTGGGTCCAATTGCAATTGGTACATTTAAATTCATGTGGACTAAGTGGTATGTGCATGTGGTGCATTGTACATGTTATGTGGTGTAGAATTTTGTGATAAAAGAATAATGAAAAATCAAAATTTGAAGTGAAGGGACCCACCACTAATGCATTAGTGGTTTAGAGACCACTCCTTCTCTCTAATTTTTCTCTTTCCCCGTTTTTTCCTCTCTCTCCCTCATTTCCCTTCATTTTTCTTTTCATTTGGAAACCAAACTTTGGATCTTGATTTCTCTCTCATTACATGGTAGATTTAAGTGTCGTTTGAGGCAAAACGGAGAGCACGACGAACTCTACACGTGGGTATAAGCAATTTCAGTTTTGGTGCTCCCTAGAGACTTTGAAATTTGGACCCATTTTGAGGGTTTTCGCAATTCTAAGAGGTAGGGGTTTCAAATCCATGAGTTCTTGCCCCCTAGTGAATTAATCCTTGTTAATTGATGCTTAATTGAGTTGATTACCTCTAATAATGATTTGGTTTTGTAAATGAGATTCATGTTTATGTGTATATGTGGTTTTGTGAGACAAACATGCTTAGATGTTGATTTTACATGCTTCAGTGTTTATATCTTGGTAGAATTTGTTATATGGAAAACATGTCTATGTGTAGCTTCCATTATGCTTATGGTGCTAGTAATTTCTTTGTAAATTGTTGAATGGGAGCATGTTAAATTGTGTATTGTATGAATCTTTCATGTATCATGGCATCATGAAAGCATATGATGATCATGCATGTCATTGGGTATCAAAATGGGAAAGAAATTGTTTGATACAAAAGGGGGAACTTTTGGGGGAAACAAGTTTTGATGAAAAAGAGTTTTGAGAAAACCCGGTCGCTGCGGAGTCACCAACGGGCCGGTAGGTTAATGTAACCTAGAGGGAATTAGGGAGATTGCCCTAGCGTGGTTGAGCTATCTAGGCCCCATAATGACGCTGCGGAGTCACCAAAGGTCAGGGACAGTAGCCAATCCTTCTCTCGGTGCTGCAGAGTCACCAAAGGGGGTTACATTAACAGTTTGAAATTGGTGGATTTGAATTGTTGAAAATGGGGAACGACATTAACATGCACTGCATTTCATTGCTCCATATTGATTGTGTTGAGACTGTATGTTATGTTGTATTTTCCCTACACAGTATGACCCCGATTCCTATTGTCCTATTCCTTGTTTGGGTTCACGGGGACACAAGATGCGTGTCTTAGGTGCCACCTACTGAGCAATTTGCTCACCCCATATATTTATATTATTTTTTTTTCAGGTCTTGGAAATGAACCGGTGGACGACAATCCACCTCAAGCTTGAAAGTTGTCAAAAGGTTGTTTGCTATTATGTATTTTGACCATTCTATGTATATTCATAGTTGTGGAAATATAATTAAGTTAGTATTCATGGCCTTGTAACTTAAGAACGAACTTATCTTTTGTTTGATGTAAATGAAACTAATGGAATTATGGTATATATATTTCCATGCAATTGTATCATGTAACGTTGTAAGGCAGGGATTTTAAATCTCAACCATGTATTTTGGGACTGTAATTATGATAATTTAGATTAATTGGTGTGTGAATATTCCACCATGAGAGGAACTAAGTTAAGGCATGGTGAATGGATGAAAGGGATGTTAAAATGTATTATATGTTTATTGTGCTGGGACAGGTTAAAAAATTCATTTAAACAGGTTGTGGTAGGCCTATTTTTAGAAGAGGTTATGTCAATTTTTTTAAAAAATTTTGGCATGAAATAGGGCCATTACATATATATATATTTTTTTACTTGTATTTTGCATAAATAATCAGGTAAAGCAATACGCTGTAAGTCCCTCATTCTTTATATATCTTTATCAAATCAATCATCTACACACTGGTCTAAATATCAAACCGTGTCTGTGCTTTAGAGCTGATCTATATAAGTCAAGGTTATTGTTATTCCTTCACCTGATCCTCTCTGGCACAAACCTTTCCTTTCCTTTCCTTTGACCTAACAGAGCTTTGAAAATGGCAGCTCCCTGTAAGTACCATGTGTTCATATCTTTCAGCGGTGAGGATACTCGCAAGAACATTACGGCCCACCTCTTGGCCGCTTTGAAGGGGTATAACTTTTACGTATTTAGAGATGACACTAAGCTCGAAACAGGAATAGAAATTGCTACTGGATTGTTCAACGCAATCGAGCAATCAAAGCTTTACATAATTGTATTCTCGAAAAGCTATACGTCCTCACATTGGTGCCTTAACGAGCTCGCGAAGATCATGAAGTGCAAGGACACACTCAAACGGATTGTTATTCCCATCTTTTATGACGTTGACCCCTCCGACGTTCGGAAACAAGAGAACTTTTATGCATTTAATGAAAAAAAAACTCGGTGCCAGAATGCGCAACAAGAAATTGGTGGAGAATTGGACGTTGGCTCTGACTAGCGCTGGAAAATTGCACGGTCACGTCCGAAAAAATGTCAACAACGGGTACGGTAAAGTTTGATCACTTATTTATTTTGATCTTTCACCTATCTGTATGTAAAATTTGCTTAGTTTCATTTCTTGAATTTTTTCTTTTTCCCATGAAAAAATAATAATTTTGGCAGGTGTGAGGCAACATTAATTGAGCGTGTTGTTAGAGAAGTTATAGCTCAATTAAATCCTACGTGTTTATTTGTTGCGAGCTACCCAGTTGGAATTGAATATCGTGTTCAACGACTATGTAAGTTTCTACAGCTAAAAACAGATGTTAGGATTGTTGCCATATGGGGTTTTAGTGGAACAGGTAAGACTACAATTGCTAAAGCAATGTATAATCGCATACATAGTGAATTTGAAAGCAGTAGCTTTCTTTCAAAAGTTGGAAAATTCAAGAGCCTTGTTAAGTTACAAAAAGAGCTTCTTCGTGATCTCCTAAAGGATAGTGAACTGAAGGTAAAAGACGAGGATAATGGAATTCAGTAGATAAAAGAGTTAGCATGGGATCAAAGGCGTCGAAAGGTTCTTCTTGTTCTTGATGATGTGAACGACGAGTGCCAATTGGAGGCATTAGCCATAGATCGTGATTTGTTAGGTCCTGAAAGTAGAATCATAATAACCAGAGATTTGGCTTCAGTAAAATCACTTGGACTTGGGGAGGATGAGAAGTATATGCCTGAAGAGTTGAGTGATGAGGATTCTCTTCGACTCTTCAATTGGCATGCCTTTAATGGAGACCCACCTGTACAAGACTATAAGATCATCTCTGAGGAAGTAGTGAGTTATTCTAAGGGGGTTCCTTTAGTTCTTGAAGTTTTAGGTTCCCATTGTTGGGCGAAACCATTCTTGTATGGAGAAGTCTATTGAAGAAGTTGGAAAAGATTCCTGATAGTGATGTTCAAGAAAAACTTATGCTGAGCCTCCATAAACTTGATGATAAACAGCTGGATTTATTTCTAGATATTGCATGTTTTTTTGTAGGAATGGACCAAGATTTGTCATTCAAAATACTAGAAGGTTGTGGTTTTCCAGATCATGATATTGGGGTTCTATTTCGTCATTTTCTTGTAAGTATTGATGGACATAAGCGGTTGATGATGCATGATCTAATTCAAAAAATGGCAAGAGAGATCGTCCGCAAAAAATCCACTGAAAATCCTGGCGGACGTAGTAGATTGTGGGATCATGAAGAAGTTCTCAAAGTACTGAAAAATGAAACAGTAAGTGCCCAATGCCAGAATTAATTACATATCTTGTACTTTAAAAATGCCATGTTGCACACTACACATCATGAAAGTCACCCAATCTGGGATATATGTGACCCTATTTTCAATACAATGTTATATATATATATATATATATATATATATATATATATATATATTCTTATATCTGCAACTTTTTATTTATTATCAGGGGACAGAAAAAGTTTTAGGCTTAGTCCTGAACTCGCCAAAATCAGAAAAGCTAGATGCGAAGGCATTTGCAAATATGAAGAATCCGAGGTTGCTTAATCTCAATTGTGTCCAACTAGGTGGAAGCTACGAATATCTTTCTAAAGAACTTGTATGGCTATCTTGGAAAGGATTTTCTTTAGAATGTATACCATCATCCTTCTTTATGAAGAATCTAGTTGCCCTTGACTTGAGCTATAGCAAGCTCGAACAGGTTTGGAAAGAAACTTGTTTCATCTCGTTCAAACTTAATTAATAGAATGACATGCGTGGAAATTAATTGTCTCTTTCTGTTCCTGACAGGTTTTGTACAAATTGAAATACGTCAATCTCAGTCATTCCTCTCTCTTGATTGAAACTCCGAACTTCACGGGGTTCACCAGTCTTGAGAAATTGTTGCTTAATGATTGTATAAAGCTTAAAACGGTACACAATTCTATTGGAGGTCTTGAAATTATGGTCTTGAATATGCAAAACTGCCCGAATCTTGAGAATCTTGAGGTCAGGAGCTTTTTCATGTCGAATTCTCTCGTTGAATTCAATATGTCCGGCTGCTCCAATTTACAGTGGCCGCCACCAGATTCAAGCTTTTCATCGTTACAATTTTCAAGTAGCATCAGTGTATTATCTATGGAAAACTGCAATATGTCATATGTGCCCAGCGAAATTAGTGGTTTGGTGTCGTTGAAATATTTGAATCTTAGCGGAAACGAATTTTCTATACTACCACCTACCATCACCAGCCTTCGGTCACTGAAGGTCCTCTTTGTAAACAGATGTTTTGAGCTTAAATCAGTTCCGGCGGTTCCAGTAAATTTAAGGAGATTGAGTGCCAACTACTGCACGTCATTGCAAAACATATCAATGGAATCGAAAGTAGCAGAAATTCCATTTATGACTTTTTGCTGTTGTAACGAATTAGTCAACAACAATTTTGCAAATAATTTTAGAAGAAATCTCCTCAGTTATCAGGTATGCTACTCTCTCTCTCCCTATTATATATAAAGTACTAGAATTAAACCAAGTCTTTATCTGCATTCACTACACGAACGTGATTAATCAATTAACCTGAATGCAGGGACTGTGTGAACAAGGTGAGTTGAATATCTATCTTTCCGGGGGTGAGATTCCGAGCTGGTGCAACTACCAGGGCCACTTCCATCCAGATTTTGAGCGTAGTTTCGATGAAGCGATTATACGTTTTCGGGTGCCTCAGCTGGTGGGTGGTCGGAAAATACAAGGGTTTATTGTGTGTCTTGTTTTTACTAGCATCAACTTCAACTTCACACAAGATGTTGAATATAGTTCGGATCAGATTGCTTTTTTGCATGACATTTCTAATGCAACCAAGATGCCTAGTGAACAAGTAGGACACCTAAATTATATCTATCCTTCAAGTCGTGGAGATGAGATGTGGCTCTCCTACGTACCAAACCGGTGCCTTGAATCTGATTATAAGTTGGAGTGCGGAGATGAAGTGGAGATGGGAATAGGGGAGATATACGGTAATTGGAAGCCGAAAAAGTGGGGGGTTAGTCTGGTTTACGAGGGGGATGAAAAGGATCCCGACTCTATCGCTATAGCCGAAGAAGATTTGATTCCCCCATTGCCGAGAGGGAATTATAGACTGTCACCAAATGACGGTTCGGTGACATTTTTTTACTCTCTAAAGGTGAAGAAAGTATGGCAATGAATCACTTCTTTGTGTGCCTTCTGCCAGCTGTATGTGTGTGTGTGTGTGTGTGTGTGTGTGTGTATATATATATTTTCTCTTTCTGCTTTGATAGCCCCGTTGCTATGCTTTCAAGGTTATGCCCTTGTTTGTGTCTTGTAGTATATTGTTTTATATTTTTTAACAATATTTTTCAGTTTACTCAAGAAAAAAATTGAAGTTTGGTTGAGCGGGAGATTGAAGTTCTTTCATGGTTTCGGTGGAGCATTTTAAAAATTCTTCAAAATTTATAAGTACATAATACAAATAAAAAAAATTCAATCCCCCATCTGTGCCTGATTGTAGTACTAGTTTTTTTAAAAGATATAGATGACTGATGACTCTTCAATTTTCTTTTGCTCATTCTCCCCTCAAGATGGGTTACAAGATAGGATTGGGTGACAATCCTAGAAAATGATGTAAGGGGAGGCAAACTTATATAAGTAGTTTTTTCTAAAATTTTAGCTTGGACAAATGTAAAATTTTATGGGTATAAATACAAAATTTAAAGATATATAATATAAAAACAAAAAATTTCAGTAGCGCAGTGGGATGCTATTTGGCATCTTAAGGGTCCATATAGACCCCACTTTACACAAGAAAAAGGAGGATAGTTTTCGTAGCCTCGAACTGACCTTAGGAAAAGCGAGCAACTGCTACTGAAACTGATTCTCAAGAAAGATGAGTCTTATGTCCCCACTGACCCCTCAATGGATCCATGCATGTCCGTCTCTTAATATTTGAAAATTATGTATAAATTGTCCACTCCATCTAATAACGAGTAAAAAATATTCTTCCCTCAATTCTAACATAAAAAAAAAAAAAAAAAAAAAAAAAAAAAAAAAAAAAAAAAAAAAAGCAAGCAGAAGAAGAAGAAGAAGATTAATTATCTAATACCTCAACAAAACTCTTTTAAACGACACCCAAAAAACATATATTCATGAAACGAACTTAATCTGACCCCAAGGAAAGAAATCTTAACGGAGCAATGATAGTATGATACTGAGACTCCTTAAACATATTCACGCTGTACTTAAAATGTGTAAATATGGGCCATTATCCCTGGGCTACAAAACAAAACAAAAACATAGTCCAGATTGGGCTGTTATTCTTCAATAACCAAACCAGCCCAATTAACAAAAATTACCCAAAAAAGAAGTCCAAAAGAGAGCCCAGATGAATCAACTAACCGAAGCATAGATCTGGACGGGAACCATCAAGAAGACCAGAAAATCTCCATGGTAATGGTGGTGGTTTGTTGATATGGAGGTCATGATATATCCGGTGCGGATATTAGTGGTGGTGGCGACGGCGGTGGTGGTGGAGGAAATGTTAATTGGTGAAAGAGAAGAAGGGGTTGGTATGAGGTGCTCATTAAAGGAGCTTGGTAGGTTCCCATTGGTTGCAATCTCCTTTGCTTGTGGACATGCACATCTCCTAACTGAGAAAAGTCTCCAACGAACTGAATTTATCACTGCATTGAGGGTTTGTGCTGGAGGGACACTGTTGTTGCGGAAAATTCTCTTATTCGTCTCTTTCCACATATGATAAACAAAACTTGCCAATGTAAGTTTCCAAATAATAACTATTTTGCTGAATTTTGATTTTTGCTTCCAATTTGATGATGCCCAGATTAGGAACTCTTGCCATGATTTGGGTTTGTGTAAAACTCATATTCGTGTTGTAGTTCATTCCAAATCCACATTGAGTAGGAATACTTGTTGAAAAGGTGTTCATGGTTCTCTCCTGCTCCAAGGCACAAGGCACACGCATTGGGTTGCATAGTAAAATGCAGAGATGGCTTGTCTTGTGTTAAGAATTTCTCTTGGATAGCCAACCAAAGACAGAAGGAGTGCTGTGGTATGAAATCTTTGAACCAAACCAGCTTATGCAAACCATTTTAGGGAGTGGTTGTGTGATGGCTTTTATGGCGTGTTTGAGGGAATAGGTTTTTGTGGGTGATGGTGACCATTGAATGAGGTCACCAGAGAGAAAATTGGGCAGTGGTGATGAGGTTTGATAGGGCTCTAGGCCAAGACCATAGGTTATCAGTAAGCAGGGATGGACCATCAACAAGTGTAAATATGTCCTACAAATGTAATAGACAATAATTTAAAGAGAAGACACAAATGAAGTGAGTATTTTTGTGCAGTTGACATGATAGAAATGTAAGTGCTCATGGTACTTCACTCTCGTTAGACAGGTAGCTCTTGTACCCTTTCTTTGTAATGTTCAGTGTAAATTTTGTTAAACTACAGCGTGCAATAATACTAGTACTGATTGTGAGATAAGAGTTTGGTATATTGGATTTATAGCACAGAGGTGCTTAATAGAAAAGAATACATGTTGATTGTGGTGATAATATCACTCAGACAAACAAACTTGAATTTGAGGATATAAGTTTCATAATAATAATAATAATAATAGATAAACACTAAAATAAATTGCACAGTTAACAAAATACCATGGCGGAAACAATGGAATTGGTGTACAGATAGTGATCATAAACAGAACATGGCTTTTCCACCAATCCCAGCAATCAAACATTGCAATCCACTACTGTTTCTGATAACACTGATTCATAGAGTCAAGGAAGCATTTGAAAGACAATAAATTTAAAGCATATTAAGAAAATTAAATTTAATATGCTCTTATTAGTCCAAATCTGTATTGAAAGACAACAAATTTCAAGCATATTAAGAAAATTAAATTTAATATGCTCTTGTTAGTCCAAATCTGTATACTTCTATGTGGAAAAGAACTTTTTAAATACTCCAGTTATTTAAATTTTCATAACTTCAGTTTTTTTATTTTCTTTTTTAGCATTACTGAGTACCTCTGGGCAAGAATTCTGTCCCAGAAGCCAAACCCCCTCTCCTAAAGCACTTCAAATTAGATGTCCATGGAATTCCCATGAACTCAAATCGCCAAAATTCTGGAAGACCTCTTTTATCCAACCTTTCTGCAATAACATGCTGATGCAATTTCCATAAGAATTATTGTTAAAATTGGCATCTGATTTTAATATCGTTTTCTTTTCAAAATATAAATAAATGTAATTTCTGGTTGGACTTTAAAGGCTTGACTCAAACCTCAGCACGCCAAGTAAGACCTGAGTACAAGTATTAGTTTTGTGGTTGGAGTTTAATGAATAACAGGAAAAACGTGTTCTGTGGTCCGTACACCATGTAAGACTTATATGAAGTCTTCTCATACAAGTCAAGGTTATGAACCTCACCTGGTCCTCTCAAGCACAAACCTTGATCTTTCTTTTCATTTTGATCTGTTTGAGCTTTGAAAATGTGGATTTACGACGTGTTCTTGTCTTTCAGCGGTGTTGATACTCGCAAGACATTTATGGGCCACCTCTTGGCCGCTTTGAAGCGGAATGGTTTTGACACATTCAGAGATGACACTAAACTCAGAAGAGGAGAAGAAATTGGCCCTGGATTGCTCAAAGCAATCGAGGAATCAAGGGTTTCGGTTATCGTATTCTCAAAAAACGCGTCCTCAAGATGGTGCCTTGACGAGCTTATGAAGATCATGAATTGCAAGAGGAAACTCAATCAGATTGTTATTCCCATCTTATATGATGTTGAACCTTCTGACGTTCAGTCACCTAGGGGTTGCTATGCAGAAGCATTTGCTAGTCACGAAAAGCGGTTCGACTTGGAGTCGGTGAAGAAATGGAGGTTGGCTCTAGTTGAGGCTGCCAATATGTCTGGTTACGTCTTGCAAAATGAGGCCAACGGGTACTTAATCTCTTCCCTTCGGCAGAAAAAAATAAATAATAAAAAATAATATTAACAGTTTGATCACTTATTTATTTTGATCTTTCCCGTATGTGAAAATTGCTTAGGCCCAGTTTGATCAGAGAGAAATGGAAGGAAAAGAAAATACAGGTAAGGGAGAGAAATGACATTGTGTTTGAGGATAAATTATTAAAAGAAAAGAAAGAAATGCAGGAATTTGGAGGGATACACATGTGGCGTGACCAGTATTGAGTCCTTGGGCATATCGGAAGCGCTACAAATTTTAATAAAACTTTTCTCTTGCCGATTTTGTTTTTATTTTTTAAGGAAACAAAATCAAAATGCATGAGTCATAGGACATGTTTTAATTCTCTTTAACCATTTTTTTTTAATATTGTCACTCTGACTTAAATGATGTTTAGCATAATTTTTATATTTCTTTTATCAATTCTTACTTACGTGGAAGGGTTTAAAGTGGTAAATTCATTAAAATAATTCCCTTTCTTTTCTTTCCAAAACACAATTAAGTGCTAGTTTCCTTTCTTTTCCCTTATAAATCAACAAGACAAGATTAGAGAGGTTAATCCTATCTTCTCTTTTCTTTTCTTTAAATAATGTCATCCATATTTTTTCTTCTCTTCTTTTATACCAAACATAGCCTTAGTTTCCTCCTGGGGTGAGCCAGAATCCTGAAATTGATTCACAAGGTACAAAAACACCCAAAGGCCAATGTTAAATAATATGTATGATTTGTGGGTGATTGTACGTGTAGGCTTGCAGCCTTGTGTTCTAAAGGTCAAAGGTCGGAAAGGTTCTCATGTTTTCTTGCTTTTGTTTTTAACTAAAAAATTGCCTAGTTTCATTTTTCGACTTTTTTTTTTTTTTTTTTTTTTGTTTTCCTACTAAAGTGGTTGAAGAAAAAATTTGGCAGGTGTGAGTCGACGTTTATTGAAACCGTTGTTGGAGAAATCGCAGATAAAGTAAATCCTACATGTTTAAGTATTGCGGACTATCCAATTGGAATTCCACCGCGTGTTCAACAATTGAGTGAGTTTCTAAAGTTGGGGTCAAATAGTGATGATGTGAGGATTGTTGCCATATGTGGGATTGGTGGAATAGGCAAGGCTACAATTGCTAAAGCAATGTATATAATCGCATACATCGAAGTTCTGAGTTTGAAAGCAGAAGCTTTCTTACAAATATTGGACGAACGACAATGTAACCCAACGGCCTTATTGAATTACAAGAAAAGCTTCTTTGTAATCTAGTAGATGGAAATCAAATAATAAGAAGCGAGGATCATGGAATTGAAGTGATAAAACAGCGAGCATGGTGTCGGAGGGTTCTTCTTGTTCTCGATGATGTGAATAACATTCATCAATTGAGGGCATTAGCCATTAATCGTGATTGGTTACACCCAGGAAGTAGAATCATAATAACAATTAGAGATTTGGCTGTAGTAAATTCGCTTCAAGTAGATGAGGTGTATGAGCCTAAGAAGTTGGATAAGGGGGAAACTCTTCAGTTGGCATGCCTTTGGGACAGACCATCCTCAAAAAGACATGAGATCCTCTCTGAGGAAGTAGTGAGTTATGCTAAAGGGCTACCATTAGTTCTTGAAATTTTAGGTTCCCGTTTGTCAAACACAAACATACCTGGTGGAGAAGTGAGTTGGAAAAGTTGAGAAAGATTCCTCATGAGGATGTTCAAGGAAAACTTAGGCTGAGCTTTAATTCACTTGATGTTGAACAGAACAGATTATTCCTACATATTGCATGTTTTTTTGTTGGAATGGACAAAGATTTTCAATCAAAATACTAAAAGGCTGTGATTTCTTTCCAGAATCTGAAATTAAGGTTCTATCTCGTCGTCGTCTTGTAAGAATTGATGGGAATAACAAGCTAATGATGCATGATCTGATTCAAGACATGGCTAAAGAAATCGTCCGGCAAGAATCCCCTAAAGAGCCTGGCAAACGTAGTAGATTGTGGTATCATAAAGACATTGTCGATGTACTAAGATATGACACGGTAATAGCCTAATGCCTAAATTAATTACATATCTTGTCACCGTAAAAGTGCCATAGCACACGACACATCATGAAAGTCTCAAAATCTGGGATGTGACCCTATTTTCAACTCAATGTCACACACACATATATACTTATATATGCAGCAGTTATTGTCATTAGGGGACAGAAAATGTTCTGGGCTTAGTCCTGAACTTGCCAGAATCAGAGGACCTACAAGTAAATGCGGAGGCATTTACAAAGATGAAGAGGCTGAGATTGCTTCATCTCAATTATGTCCAAGTAAATGGAAGCTACAAACATCTCTCTAAAAGACTTGTATGGCTGTCTTGGAAAGGATTTTCTTTAGAATGTATACCACAAACCTTAATTATGGATAATCTGGTTGCCATTGACTTGAGTTATTGCAAACTCAAACAAGTTTGGGAAGGAACAAAGGTATGATGACACTACTGTTTTTTAATCATCTGCTTTAAACTACTTAATTTATACAATGACATGCTTGTAAATTTATTCTCTTTCTGTTCCTAATAGGTTTTGTGCAAATTGAAATACCTCAATCTCAATCATTCCTATCTTTTGATTAAAACTCCGGACTTCACGGGGCTCACCAGACTTGAGGAATTGTTGCTTGCTGATTGTACAAAGCTGGTCGAGGTTCACCAATCTATCAAAAGTCTGGAAAATCTTATTATCTTGGATCTACAAAATTGCCACAATCTTGAGAAGATTCCCCGAGCATTTTCATGTTGAAGTCTCTCCTTCATTTTAATCTTTCCGGCTGCTCCAAATTCGAATGGCCAACCTTTTTTCAAAGCTCGCTGCCCAAATCAAGCTTTTCATCATTACAGTTATCAAGTAGCATCAGGGAATTATATATGAAAGACTGCAATATGATATATCTGCCCAGTGAAATTAGCTGTTTGGTGTCCTTGGAAATTTGGAATCAAAGCAGAAACAAATTTTCTAACCTACCAGATACCATCAGTAGGCTGTAGGTACTGGTTCCTAGGAACACCATTGAAAAGTCTATTGAACCTGGGGTATATCACTCAAAACAATGTGAGGAAAGCAGAAGAGCAAAAGAAAGGAGAGAAATCTAGTCCGAAAGCATGGATTGGAGTGATGGTAAGAGAGATGATACCAGGAGCCTCTTATTTTCTATCTTCGCCTGCCCCAAGTTTCTTCCATTTATAGCCTAAAGTCAGTGAAGGGGATTTAATTAGCACTTATTGGGTTTTCTTCCAAATAAAGTAGGACTCACGCAATCATTAAAATCACGCTGCCTAACTCCTATCCTTCAGAATCCTTTAAATAAGTGTAACGTTCCCTAAAATGACCTAGGCAGGATTTAAGCATAACGGCAACAACTTTTACTCTGGTTATCTCTCACTCTGATCCTTGAATTGGGTCTTGCTTTGCAAGACTTGACTAGATTTCTTTCCTCCAATCCAAAGTCCCTTCTGTATTCCCCCTGACAACGAGGCAAGTCCTACCATTTACTCCTTATTTTGATTAGTTTGAGCTCATCGGGTCGAGTCAGAGTCCTGAGCCCGTCGATTGACAACTTGTAATTGGGTCGGATCGAGGTTCTTGGCCAGTCGATCGATAATTCATATTTAGTCAGATCGAGGTTCTGGGCCCGTCGATCGATGGTTCGTACTTGGTTAGATCTTCATGTTTGGGTCGGATCGAGGCTCTGGGTTCGTCGATTAATGGTTCGTACTTAGGTTGGATCGAGGCTCTGGGTCCATCGATCAACAGTTCGTACTTGGGTCGGATAGAGGCTCTAGGCCCGTCGATCGTCGGTTCGTACTTGGGCCGGATTGAGGCTCTGGGTTCGTCGATCGACGGTTCGTACTTGGGTCGGATTGAGGCTCTGGGTTCGTCGATCGACGGTTCGTACTTGGGTCGGATCGAGGCTCTGGGTCCGTCAATCGACGGTTCGTACTTGGGTCGGATCGAGGCTCTGGGTCCGTCGATCGTCGGCTCGTACTTGTGTCGGATCGTGGCTCTAGGTCCGTCGATCGACGGTTCGTGGTTAGGTCACTGTATTCCTCGACCCACTCTTTGTGATTTTGTCCTTCCTACTTTGGTGCAATGATTCGTGTGGGCCACTTAAATGACTAGTAGGTGACGTGGGTTGGTGACGTGGCTCTAGTACATCCACATTTAGTCCCCCTGCACGTGCTACTTTTGAATTTTGAAAATGGGGCATGTGCAAAGAGCCGCGGGTGTAATAACTTTGGGAAACGTGGGTTTATGTTACCTATGTCAGTTGGGGTAATCATTGAAGTGACACTTCGACTAGAGTGTGACAGTGTTAGTGGGTGTGACGCTTTGGGTGTCTTCTCCCCCAACGTAACTGAAAACTGCCATGTCTATATAAACCGAGCTTTGGGAAGAAAGAAGAGAGAGAAAGTAAGAGGGGGAAAAGGTGAAAAGAAGCCATTCTGCATCAAAAGCTTCGTCGTTTTAAATGAGACAGAGTAGTAAATGACGAAAAAGAAGGCTCTAAGTAAGGTTGGTGAACCAATGCCGAAGGTGCCGCACGGAGTTAGAGTGGCACAGGGCGCCGTATTTTGGGCCATCAAATGGGTTCTGGACATCCACTGGGGATGTTGTTATAGAGGGAATAGATAGTAGAGTTACACAATTGATGGAGGAGGAAAGCGCCATCGAAGAAGGGGCTAGGCCGCCGGCAAGTAGTGTGCAACATTTTGCTATTGAGCAAGGTATGTACCCGTATGTAGTCGTTGGGAAGAGTGGACAGATCACATTTTTGCACATAAGCCCTCTGTGAATTGGCTGCGCCAGGCGAGAATTGCCCGAGCCATGCGTTTGTGTCGAACTCTCAGAGTACCTAGAGATCCTACTGGATTAGATTTGTCATTGTCGCGATGGTGTAGCGCGACCCATACTTTTATTACAAAGTGGGGAGAGTTTACTCCGACTTTGGAGGATTTTTGTAATACCCCTAATTTTAAAAAGGATAGTCTCGGCATTTATTTGTTATTTTTATTGTATTTTTGTGTGATTATTTGGTTTAATTATTTTATTTAATTGTTTACCTATGTGACATATATTTAATTGGTATTTATTTATTTGTTTAATTGTATTTTATTTTATTTAATTGATTATTTGCTTGCTGGAATGTTTGAATTAATTGTGATTTTATTTAATTGTTATTTTAATTGGTTTTGTTGTTGTTTGAATTGATTAATTGACTTAATTTAATTTATTTAACTTAATTGGTTTAATTTAAATGTTTAATTTTTTCACGGGGTAATTATTTTATTTATCTAAATTTAGGGTTTTAGGATTTATCGTTAGCCAACTTATAGTCAGACTTGGAATAGGGTTGAGTAAGTTGAAGCCTATATATACATGTACATACTGGGGTTTAGGGTTTTAGAAAACATAAAGTTACGTCTGTATCACCAAGGGCAACTAAGAAACAGAGCGTGAAACTGGGGAATTGGCAGAGCAGTTCAAGGAAGACTACAGAAACTGGGAATTTAGAACTTCAAGTCTGTAACTCAAAGGCAAGTTCTTATCTTCCTCATTCCCTTGGCTCGTGTTCTGTGCACTTAGATTATCTCTAGGGATGAACTAATTAATAATTGAAACTTACGTGTTTATTATATGCTCTGTTGATGATCTGGTTGCTTGAAAATCAAATATGTTTACAGGTGGTGCATGTTTGTTTCAGTTCTATTCAGTAAAGCATGTTGAACTCTGTTATAGTTTTAATTATCATACTTGTTTTTATCTTCTGTAAACGGATCATGGAGATGTTGTTGGGATGATATAAGACTCCTGGGTGCAGGGGTGAAGAGAAACAGATGGGTTGGATCATAACGGATATTGCAAATTGTTTACAGTGTTGCTCTTCAAGCATGCTAGTTCAATGGTTTAGTTTAAACTCTGTAACTGTTTCCAATATTGTAAACAAATCTTGGAGATGATTCTAGGCTTAAACAAGGCTTCTTGATTTGTTCTAAAAACCCACAGAGCGATAGGAGTAACCCAGTGACGAAGCAGGGAAACTGAAATGAAGAACAGACGGACGGTAGGCTCTCAAAGAGGAGAGAGCTGGCTCCACAATGGAAGGAGCCGGCTCCCCCATCTAAAAGTGCCGGCTCTATGATGTTTAGAGCCGGCTCCATGCTCTAAAAAGAGGCTGCTCCAAATTTTAGAGCAGGCTCCCTTTTTATTTTATGATCTGTTTTAATTTTTTTTTTATTTTCTACGCACTGTGCTTACTATTAGAGCATGGGTTTTAAATCTGTTGGGTCTGGGGTTCCACAGAGAGTTTAGAAGGCTGAATTTGGGTGTTATTAGGACCTTAAATTGATTAGGGTTTAATTCTAAATTGTCGGACAAACAGTGTAAAAATTAAGACACTCCCTATGTTGTTAACAAATGGAAGATAAATTAATTGTTGAATTAAATTTCAGCAATTTGATGGAATATAATGTGTTTATAAAACTTGTTTTAGAATGCATTCAATCACATGATAAGGTCATTTAATTATTAATTTTGATCTATGCATGCTTAGGGGGCTAGTTGCTGAATTATTAAATCGTTTCCTGCAACTATATAGTTAATGCTTGGATTTATATTGCTGAAATATTAAACAATCTTCTGAAATTGTTTTAGCAATTTATTGGATAATAATAGGATTATTTAACCTATTCACATGCATAATGGAGTCCCTGGCATATTAAATTTGGTCTATGCATGCTCTGGATGTTAGTTGTTGATTTATTAAATCGTCTCCTGCAACTATATGGTTAAATGCTTGGATTTAAATTGCTGAAGCTTTAAATATTT